GTGTACTCACAGTTTCCTGCAGCACAATACTCAGCTGTTTGTTGTTGGTCTGTAGGCGTTCCTGGCCTGCAAGACTGAAGAGTTTGACTTGGATATGGATGGAGAGAAGGCACCTATTTGCTACAAGGAGATCACCACTGCCCTCAGACAGTGGATCATTCCAACATTTGTAAGTCATTTGTAAGGAAGTAGCCAGATGCTTTCCTTCAGTATAAATAGACACAGGAACCAAAAGCAATGCCAACGACGGAGCCAGCCGGTCTGAAGTTACTGATGCTGTAAACAAAAAGTCATTTGTGTCCAGGATCACTCTTTTTCCTCCTTCCCTCCAGGAAAAGAGGATGAGAACTTTGATCCACAAGCCGCTGTGTGCACTCCGTGACCTCCTGGTGGGCCCAAGGAACCTGATCAGAAAGAGAATTGACAAGCTTCTCGATTATGAAGTGATAGAGGCCAAATCCAATTTGAGCTACGAGGAACAAGCTGTGGCAAACACATACAGGTAGAGGAAGAGATTGTTTGAAAATGACATGCTTTAATAGGGTTGCTTTTGTCAAGTCTGCCTAACTGAGGATCACCTTGTTAGTCCACAGAGTTAAGGCATCCGTTAGTGGTGTATCTGAGCTTAGTTGATCCATGAACCATGTGGGTCCCCATCTACAGCTTAGATAACATGTGAACTAACACTAACCATCATAGTGTGAAATACAGGTTTCCTATAGCTGTTACTTTTTAAACAGTGGACAGCACAAGGCCAATGCCCTTTCTCACACTTTTACAGAAAGTGACGCAGATTCACCGAAATGTAATTAACCATGCTCCATCTTTCCACTAATTTTCATAAAATTCGGCCCAGTGGCTTTTGCGGAATCCTGCTGTCAGGCAGCCAAACATAAAAATGACGCTACAGACATACCTCGGCCTTGGAAAGAAATAAGTCCTTAAATCTCGATGGGAAGTTGCAGTGACAAGATACAAAAGCTGTTTGGTCACATGAACATTGAACGCTCTTGACAGTGACAATCTGATCGTATTTTATTTTTGTTACCCAAAAAACTATGATATTATCTGAGTTTTGTGACCTGTTGCACCCTTAGCATCCATCTATACAATAGTCCTGATCAAAACACTGAAACCCACCTCAGTCATTAAAGTTTAGTTCAGTTTAACTTTTATAAGGAGTAATTAGCCTCCAATTTAAGTATCTCCCTCTGTGACAACGTTAGCATTGAAATTAAGCTTAAAGAGCATTTTTAAATAATAAAATTAGGAAACTGTGAATTCATTCAGGTATCATGTTTGTATCACAATGACCTGTTTCTGTCTTTAAAACCCAACGTCTCACCTCTCCTGCTGCCCCCTCTCCTCCCTTCAGGACCATGAACACGCTGCTCCTTAACGAGCTTCCTCAGTTTAACGGTCTGGCTCTGCAGATGATCTGGAGCATGTTGGGGACATTCAGCTGTCTGCATAAAGACCTCGCCTCAGACATGGAGCAGCTGTTCCAGAGCTTCGCACAACAGGTACTACACAGATAATGTTGTAAAGAAAAAAACGATTCCAGGTTTTGATCGATGTGCTGTCCAAGACTTTGCTGAGATTACTTGAAAACTTGTTACTGCAGCGGAGAAAACCACAAGGTGTCTTCAAGTGCGCCAATCAGTGATGAGCTAATCATTAATTGTGTTCAAAGGTTACATTCAATTTTCATGCAGTGTTTCTTTCTTTTGCTCCATCTCCAGCTCCCTCACAGCTCCCTCCATCCCGCTGCATTCTGGGAGTGGGCAGAGTCTGCAGCGCTTGAAGGTGCGAGGAGGCTGCAGACTTTGTGTCAAACTGTGCAGGACACACTGAACGCGCCAGTCGTGCAGGTTGGAGTTCAATTTACGTTGTTTTTCATAATGTTTTTCACTGGGTGAATTACTCGTGTGTTTTGTTTGTTCAGGTTGTAGTCCTCAGACACCGATGCCGATTAACAGACCGTAAATTAACAATACCATTAACGCAACAGTCAACAAAACCAGCTGTCGTTGGACACCTGATCTCGGTCACATTTCCTTTCTTCAAGAGGAGCACAACAAGCACACAGGAAATTTGAACTCTTTCGTCGGCACATGCAAGACAATACATTTATACAACACAACAAGCTCTTCAGTTGGTACATAAAATGCTGTGCAAAGCGTTGCAGGAGACAACCGTCCTGTTGGACAGTTAAACAGTAGGAGTGGAATGAATTCATAGTCGGTTCATATCTCAGGTTGGGGTCACGGTTCAGTGGAGCCTCCTTCAAATTTTCATAAGTATTTGGTAAAGCAGGAGAGATGCCAGTTTCAACATTCTTATCTTTTTTTAAGCATAAATAGTTAACCAATGTTTGCCTTGGCAAAGTTCTGACTAAGAACATATGTACCATAAACACTTATTCCTAGTCATAGGAACACTCTCAGCTGATGTCTTCATTACATTTTTTTCCACCATGGGTAAATGCATAACGCTTCCATACAGCAGACTGAAACGCTACTGGTGGATCCTCTAAATGTCCTTTGTCTTGTCTACTAACAGCTGCACTTGACACTTGATCTGTGCCAAAAGAAAAAGTTTCACTGGGTTAACAGTGCAATAGATTTTTTCTGCGCATGCCTCATCAAAGCCTATTTCAAAGAACAACAATACGTACAAGCAGTAAACTGTGACTTAACAAACTGACCGGGGGGATGTTTGACTTGACGAACGCTAAGTTTGCACTTGAATTTTTAACAAGAATGCCTGAAGTTAGCAGCAACAACTAGACTTAATTGTGTGATTTTCATGTAGCACCACCAACAACAAGTTACCTTAAAGACTCATGTCTACCCGTCTTTTCGTTTTCCTAATATAATATGGTGGTTTGCTAAAAAAAAAAACACCGCTCCAGAATAGTAGGCTACTAGTGTGAGCGTAGAACAACAGAACAAAAGCACTTTGCATGTTTTTGTTCCTGCGAGTGTTTGCTTTATGATCCACCGTCCCCTGACATGTGATCGTTATGCATGTTTCTCGAAATAATTTGGCTAAAAGCAGCTTTCCTTTGACATGTGTCACTGCCGCTTGTTCTTCCTGTTCTGCTGCCTGTCAGATGAACTTGAAGTGGGTCACATTCTTTCAAACTCGTCGAGCAACTTTCATAAATAACCCGCTGAAAGAGCAGGATGTACAGTCATGTCGTGCTTTGTGTGAGGTTACGGTAATAACTTCAGACAGGCGATAAGTCAGCTGTGCTGCCCAACATGTTATTCCGGCTGAAGAATTTGCCAAATCATCATTGTGATTACAGCGTATTGTCATTTGTGTGGAATTACAAATAAGTCATCGGTGAGAAGTTTCTGAATGCACGTCTTCTCGTTCTGCAACTTTCTGAATTATTTCCCGGTGTGTTCCCATATTTAATAACAGGATATGTTTAATGCTTTTTAACCTGGTAGTCCATTTAGGTGAGTCATTTGTTATGATTTTTTGTTTTTTTTACATACCTACCTTCCTGAAACAGAGGTGTGTGTTGGTTAATCCTGTGCATTTTAATGTTTGTGACACCAACAAGCTGACAAACACTCTTAGCTTGAATTAAATAGGTTCATGGTGATGTCATTATCACGTAATATTCTGTTCTCCTGCTTTTCTAATTAATATTCTGTTTCAATGCATTTCACTTTACATTCTCTGCTTTTTCACATTTTCCTCCTGTCAGCCTCTGAGCCCGTCCTCTCAGCGCCGTCTGAAGCAGCTAACCGACAAGCATGGTTCTGGAAAGATCTACCAGGTGATGACCACAGTGGTGGGCAGTCGGGACCTGGACCTGAACCTGACTAGGGGGGAGCTGGTGGCTGTGATCAGCGAGGCCGACACCCGAGGAGACAAACGACGGTGGCTGGTTGATGCAGGAGGTAAAAGTTACAAAAACAAAACCCTGCTATGTTGCTATAAAAATGATTACCACGTTAATCCTGCAGGCTCATGGTCTGTTTTTTGCTGTTGTCCAGGGTAACAGCTGTATAAGACAATGCCTGTAATTCTGGTTACAGCTGTTTTTGTGACCCAGCTTGTACAAACAATATCTAGCAGGAGTCATTTACAGACTTTGAGTGCAGAAAAAGAGTGACATGTGTTGGAAATTGCTCAAAAACAAATTGCTATCAACATTTACATATTGGGACGAAGAACTATGACTCAGTGGTTTTATACCTTGTATGATTTGTGGTGAATATGAGACATACAGACATGCCTGGAAGCCTGAAGCTAAGCGTTAAACCAAGTACGATGTTGACCTCTGTGTAGAAAAACCTGTGACATCAGAGCAGCTTTGTTTAAATGCAGCACATTGGGGCCATCTTGTGGTTGATTGCTGTTATTACAGTCCACCAACTTTCAAACTGTGATAAAGGCTAGGCTACCATTCATTTGTTTTTAATTACAGGAGTTTAGGTTTGTAACCTTAATCATTAAGTTATTCAGGTAAATTTGTATCGTTGTTATTCCTTAACATTGATAGTCAAATAAGAGTAATACTTAGAGTTTCTGCTTTTGTTAATAGTTGTTGGTTTTTATATTATTTAAGTTAGAATAAATGTTTTATGTTGGTAATATTAGCTATCTTACATATTTAATTTTTACTTGAAAACCAGAAAAAAATATGACATTCTTCTACACAACACGTATACATAAGTGAAGCACTTTTATCGTCTACGTGGACCACTTCAGTCTTAACCTGTGTATGTCGCCTGCAGGCAGGAGAGGCTACGTTCCTAACTCGAAGCTCGTTCGATATCACCAGCCAGCAGAGGAACCGCCTCCCTCGCCACACTTGACCCTGCCGGAAGGCATGAGTGGAGTCAGAAGACACTCGTACACCCCACAGAGCCAGCCACTGACAGTCATGAGGCAGCCTTGCGTCCAGGTAACTCATCGATTGGTTTATAGATTGACTCATAGCCACGATCACATGTCACCAACAACAAAACGTGAAAAAAAAATCATGATGAAAGCCCTCCACCAAAGACAAAAAAAACCCCAATCATAATAACGACAGAAAACAGGGAGGAGGTATGTGTGTAGCTAAAGTTCAAAGCCACCTTGGTTAACTGCTGAACCTGAATGAATGGATGGTTTAGTTTGTGGTTGTTAAAGGTTTTGGAAAAGACTCTTGTGAGGTTTACAATGAGAGGCAGTTAATTGACAGTGGAGGGCTAGAAGGACCCGGCCATGAAAACTGGAGGACAACAGCAAACTGAAAAAGCCTGAACTTATGCGTGTTCCTTTTAACTCATATGTGAGAATTGAAACTAGTCACATCGAGTCACCGTTATTAATGTAGCACATATAAAGCAGTAGTTTCCAGCAGTCGAATAAGAAGGGTTAAGATCCCAGAGTATTGTTAATTTGACCTAACTTTTACTTTAAACACGAAAGGTAAAAGCCAACAGAATTATCCAAAATCTAAATAAAGTTAAGCCTAAAAGTTTAAGCCCTACAATATTACTAATCGTGTAAATTTACCCGACTAATTTAAATGTTTCAGTTACGAACCAACAGTAATATACACTCCAACTAATTACCTGATTAATTTAAAGATTAAATTTAAGACCTTACAAAAAAAAAAAACATCCAACCAGAAGTCAAAATGTTTCCTGCGTTGGCAACTAAGCGAAAGGATTAAATGTGAATGAAACTGTTCGTGACGTGGATCTCAGCTCGTTGCTAAGCATTTAAATTATCTGACATCCGACTCCAAAACGTGAGCGTGTGTGCGTTTAAGTCCTTAAATTAAATGTTGCAGCGTTGGCGTGTCTGAAGAATTGACTGATCGATGTGACAGCGTTCTCCAGTGGACGCATCAATCTGTCACATGCCTGACTCTGTGTGTCTGTGTGTGTGTGTGTGTGTGTGTGTGTGTGTCTGTGTGTGTTTGTGGTTGCATGTCTATCGCTGTGAGGACCAGATTTCACCTTGGTAGTGAGAACGTTTTGGAATACGAGGACTTGACAATTTAAGTTGGGCTAAGGGTTGGGGTTAGGCATTTAGTTCTGGGAATTAACGTTCTAGAGAGGGCGTAAGAAATTCATTTTTTCAGCTCGTGTTCTCGCAAAGACGGAAAGACGTGCCGGCGTGTGCGCGTGTTTGTGCGTTATTAATGGGAAGGTCCATAATTAGCTGTTTAACCTTGTAAGTGGGTTGCTTTGCGAAGGGCCGTGCGTTAATTTATGCGACGCAGGGCTGCGGGCTGAGATAAAGCGTGTTGCAAGATTGATTTACATTTGTGGCACATGTGAGTGTGAGAGGGGAGTGTCGCTGCTTGTAAATTTGTGATGGTTTATGTGACTGAGTGCACATGAGAGAGGGCGAGGGAGATTTAGGTGTGTGCTTGCATGTGTGTGTGTGTGTGTGTGTGTGTGTGTGAGAGATATGCCTTCATATTGCCTTGCCTGTTAAAGTGAGTGATTGCTCCAGTGACCTTATATAGGCAGTTTTTCCTCCCCCTTCCACACTCATGTTCATCCCTCACGACCCTGAGTCTGCTCATACACAAAACGTACACACCCTCCGGCTCTGTCCACAGCACTGCAGATGAAACACAGATTTTCACTTTATTCTGTCCTTTGAGCCAAACTGCTGTTGTCCACTGCAGAAAATATTAATAATAATTCTGCTCTTTTGTTAAAGACTGAGAGAGATTAAGATATCATGTGACGATCAAATAGGTTGTAAATAATACAACAATAGTCAGATTGCAAGAGGTGCTTGATACATAAAGAAAACTCACATGGCTCTCGTTTTTTATAAAAACATAAGTCTGATTTAAGGATTCTTAGATACACAGAGTTCTTTTTTTTAAACTTAATTTACAAGACAGAGTTTGTTGACATGCAGGCTCCATATGTGCTCAGCAAAATGAGCGAGAAACACTAAAAAGGAAGATTTTGTTGCAAAAAGTAACGTCTTGCGACGTCTTGTATGGAAATACCTATCCAATGCAAAAAAAAAAAAAAAACTACTTTGGATGTGTTTGTTAATGTTACACCAATTGCGAAACATTACAAGCAGCCTTTTTCGGTGTTGGTTAAATTATTTTTTCATATTCTTGATACAGAGGCATTCACCTTAATCATAGTGTAGGGTTATTCATGCCATCTGGGGAAAATTCTTGTATTTTCTCGTATCATACAAAATCAAAACATGTTTTTTCCAAGATCATGAAGCCATATTGTCAACCGTAGGATATGAAGCAGCAACGTTAAGAGTCACAGCAGCTTTCTCTGTGATTTGAGTTGCTTTGAGACAAAGTGTTGGTGTTATTGTCCTGTCCAGAGTCGACCCCCCTGTTTACCCAGTGTGAGCTGAGATGGACTTCAGCCCCTCCGCTACCCTTCATGTGGGCTGCTATGTCCTCTCTTGAAGCACAGATGAACTCTTCCTCTGATTTTAACCAAAGTGTTCATTTTTCTTCACTACAATGACTAAATGAGGGTACGTTGTTTTAATATGTTAAACGCACAACATGTCATTTGGAGTTCCTGTATTTACCACCATTGTCAAAGAGTTAGACAGAAATCTTATTCACAGACAAGGTAATAGATCAGATTTTTTTTTCTGGTTATGTTTAGCAGTATATTCACATACATATCAATCATGCAGTAGCTCACCGCTGTTATACGTGGCCAAAACAATCATGATCCATCACGAGTGAGTAACACAAGTGTTACGACTGGCTCTTAAGCCGCAACAAAGGAGAAAACACACAGGTGGGTTCAACTATAACATAAGGCTATTTATTAAAACAAAGTCATGAGGTGTGATTGTGAGCGTCAGTGGTGTGCGAGGGTGGATGAGTGCAGTGGTCAATGTGTGGTGCATGTTGTCAGCACAGAACAAACCAAAAGAGACACAAACGCAGTAGCATGGCCGGCTGGGTGTGGCAGAAGAGAGAGCGATCTGGCTCAGCAGGCCGGCTTATATACTCAGTGAGATTGGCCGGGTGCACCAGGTTAGCAGATTGGAGGCTCCGCCCAGCCAGAAACCCGCAAGACAAGAGTCACAGAGAGAAGACAGAGGCTCTGCGGCCGTAACACAAGCAATAGAATGTTGAAAACAACAGTGTTGGAAGGGCATGTGGCACCATTCACAGGTGACCAGAATGAAATGCTGTAGCAGGGATGCAAATTTCTATCATATATTTATGTATTTATATAATTTTTTAAACAGATTCTTGTAAGCACTATCAATTAATATTCAGTTGATATCACAAATCAGGAACAGTGGACAGTGTTTAGTCTGCTGATAATTTAAATGGTGAATATGCACTGTTCATCATAAACGCAGCAGCTTGGTTCATTGGCTGCTTATACATTCAGTCACTGTCCTGGATGACTTCAGCTCGGCTTGACCAGAACCCCTTACATGCCACAGAAGTCTTTGTGGTGGTCCCCTTTGCTAGATAAACTCCCACAATGCTCTCTGGTTGCCAACATAGAACAGCTCCTAGTCTATGTGACCGCCTCCTCGGGTGGATTCAACCTTCCATCCTGTTGGACAGTAAGTGGCTGGTGCAATCTGGTGCTACAGTGAATGTGCAGCATGTTTTCTTCCGTCTTTCACACGTGTCCTTTGTCTTCAACCTTATTGTTCAAGTTATTTTTATCAGGTAAATTATTAGCAACATCTTTACGCTAAATACAATTTAACGGAGTTTAAAAATAAATCCATCCTTCCATCCATCATCTATACACCACTTAATCCTCACTAGGGTCATGGGGGGCTGGAGTCTATCCCAGCTGACTCAGGGTGAAGGCAGGGGACACCCTGGACAGGTCACCAGTCTATCACAGGGCTACACTTAGAGACAGACAACCAAGCACACTCACATTCACACCTACGGACAATTTACAATCACCAATTAACCTTTTTGGACTGTGGGAGGAAGCCGGAGAACCTGGAGAGAACCCACGCTGAACGGGGAGAACATGCAAACTCCACGCAGAAAGATTCAGGTGTCCTCACCGGGACGCGAACCGTCGACCTTCTTGCTGTGAGGCAACGATGCTAACCACTAAGCCACCTTGCAGCCCTTTAAAAATAAATATTCAAGATAATTAGAATTTAATAAGTTAATGTAGAATTGTTCATACTTCTTAGTTGCGTTGATGCGTCGACTCTTCGTAAAAAGATTTGTGGTGTATGAAGCTGTTGACAGAATAAGAAAGATTATTCACCAAGACGAAACATATTGGTATATATGACAGCCTTATCCATGAAACATCTAGAATATTTAGCTAAGATGTGAAAGGGGTTTTGTTAAAACAAGAGAACTTCTGATTCCCTTATACTTTGTTACAGTGGCGTGTTGCTGTCTTTACAAATGAGGAACGTGCTTTGCAGAAAACGGGATAAAAACGGCCGATCAGATGAAATTTTCATTTTTACCATCGTGTAAGGAGCCTCCTTGCTTTCAGGCAGAAGTTCATTCTTTCACTTCTATTAGAAATAACCATATTTAGATTTAGATTTCCTCCTACGTCTGTCAGAAATCCTGCAAAATGCAGTGGGAGTGAAGCTTTTAGGCATCAAAGCAAGAGTATTATTCATACACTCCAGTCTGGCTTTTAGCGACATGCAGGCAGTCTCAATTAACTCTGTTTCTTTCTCCCACCTTTATGGCACCGCCATGATGTCATGACCATATACTAACACAAAGAGCTGCTGATTAGCTGCACTACACTCCTCTTGACTTTTTTGCCATTGCCATCACAAACTTAGCTGCAGCGAATGTTCGCCCGGCTCCGTAACACGAATCACTCTTCAGCCGACGGCCACGGTCACTTTACATTTTTTTATTTATTTATTTTCGTCGTCGCTGTCTCTGCTTGGCAAAATGCAAATTAAATGCTAATTGGTGTAGACCGTCAGGGCAGAGCTAATGTCGTAGCTGAGAGGTGAGCCGAGGTGAAGGGTTTGTTAATGACACCAAGCAGCCGGCTAAACTCGGCTATTAGCACTGCTGGGGCACTCTGTCATACCAACACAAGGCTCATTAGGAAGCCTTCATTCTGTGTATGTGTGTGAGGGGGGGGGGGTGATGAGATGGGATTTGTCAAGACATAACTAGTGGGCTTAACCTTTTCACAGAATATTACAATGATTTGTGGATGTGGTATTGTGTGTGTGTGTGTGTGTGCGTGTGTATGTGTGTGTGTGTGTGTGTGTGTTCACATTTGTGCCATACCTGTGTACGTGCATTCTCCCATTTGCACAGTTGTGTGTAACTTACACTATCATTTCCTGTGTGCTATCTAGTAGCAATGAGAGAAATGTAGGGCGGATGCCTGTGCCGTACATATTGGGCCATGAAGTACACATACATCTTGTTTTTGTTGGTTTATTTTTTTTCCAGTCAGCTTTAATTATCTTAATTATTGCTCAGTAGGTTTTGTGAAGACATTCATTTTCTAGGATATCTCAAAAACAATCTCAGCTTTTTGTTGATAGTAAACTCTAAGATTAGCATGTTGCACCAAAATGTGGAATTTTTTGTTTGTTGGTACAGCTTCCAACTTCAGCATTTAATCAACATGTGTCGTGTGCATGTAAAACCATATATGAAAGAATGATAGAAAAATAATCAAATGTGTTCCACTGTTGCGTTACAGTAGGCTTTCTCTAAATCCGTACTGAATTTATTGCTCAGGTCCAATCCTAACACAACACATGCTTGTTAAGTGTATATAGATATGTTGGCCGGCTAACAAGGAAACATTTCACATGCTAATTGTATGCATGAAAACAAGCCTGTCCATTAGTTTGCCAACGAGGGAGCATCCAGCATCCCGACAGCACACCTGCTAACAAGTAGAGTGCATGTATGTCAAGTGCATGTGTTTTATCTCCTAATAGTTCATATCCATGGCTAACATGTCGACCAGTTTCTTGTTCTCTTGATATTTTCGCCACAGCAACAGCCAGAGCCGGAGCCGTTATATTTTTACGTCGGCCATCTGCCCACTAAACCTGAACATGATGTCTCTTTAATGCCTGAAACGAATTTAGCACAAACATGGACTCATAGATGAACTGAGTACACTTTAGTGGGCTTTTGAAATAACATGAGCTGCAGAGATTTCACCCAGCATTTCATTTTCCAGGTGTTGGCAGCCTACGACTTCACAGCAAGGGGAAACCATGAAGTTTCTGTTCGGGCCGGAGAACCTGTTCGTGTCCTGGAGCCGCACGACAAGCGAGGGAACCCAGAGTGGAGCCTGGTGGAGGCACGAGGCGGTCAGAGAGGATACGTGCCCTCCAACTACCTCGCAATCATGCCTATGGGGACAGGGCCGTCCAGCGGCTACTCCCCCTTCTGCTAGGAGGGACGGAGGAAGGAAGTAGGGCGCCATATATCAGCATGTGCAGTATGAGAAGGATCTTTCCAATACTGTATTTTGAATGCAATATTTTTTCTAATGCAGCTGCGGCTGCTTCTCAAACGGTAGCATGCGACTATAGCTTGACCATCATATGTTTTTATTTTCAGTGTCAAAATCCGTGTTTTTAAAAAGACATCAGAGCAGCTACTTAATCTACGAGTATGCAATGGTCACTGTGTGAGCGCTAAAATGCTACATTTTGTTAGCTGACTGCTGTATTCAAATTGACAACTGGAATTTTTAAATATCTTTTCATGGCTTTTTTTTTGACACCTAAATCCTGTGAGAATTTTTGAAATCACCTCGAAAGTCGACTAAGAGAAAGGTGAAGTTCACCGACCTTTAGCTTTAGCGGGTAAGGTGTCATTGGCCATCTCTTCGGCCATTCCTGTACTAACTTGAATGCATATCAATTCAAATCTAATCCTGCATTTTGTAGCACCAAAAACACTGTCACTGAAGTGAGCATGACACAAGTTTGGCATAATGTTGTGGACAAATTCAGTTTGTCTCTCTCTCTTTTCTTTTTTTTTTTTTTAACAGACTGACATTTGGCTCTAACATGACATGAGCTAAACATCAGAAATGACTGGACAGAAAATGTGAGAAAGCTCCTGGTTGAATGTGTGCAAGAGAAGACATTTATTCATTGCTCCTATTTTTTTTTTTTTTTCAGCGTGGACAGTAAATCTGCAAAACAATCAGAAAATGTAAGTGTAGGAGGAAAGTATTTGATGTACAGAATCTTTTCCACGTTGTCATTTATAGCCTCTTTCAGACGTGCCCTCCTCTCCATTAACCAGACAGGAATCACAGAGAGGAGAGATGTGATGCTAAAACATAGAAACTATTTAATGGGCTCGATGAGACTGTAATCTTAAATATTGATAAGATTAAAGCTTAACTGTTTGAAAGAAACATACAGCTTAGATTAATGATACTCCATAAAGATGAAGTAATCTTTTTTTAAATTCCCACCAAGATTTTAACAGGAACAGAAGCTTAGTTTGTTGCTTCCAGCTGTTTGTAGGAGTCTTTCCTCTGAATTTATTAAATCCCTGCAGCATCAAACAGCAGCGAGATCCATATCCCCGACATAGAAGCGGGTTTTTTCCTGTTGAGTGATGAATATGGTGCTACTGTGGTGGGTTTGTCTAAATGAAGCTGTGAGCAACATTAATGAAAAAGTGTCCTCATGACTGAATGCCCTCACTTTACCAGATTAATGAAGCCAGCATGATTCTGTGTTCCATGTCTGAAAAAGGCTTATGTGACACGCTTTTGGAAAAAAAATGAAGGAAACAGCAGCAGCCCTGCAGCTGGTTGTTATTTGGTGTCTTGCTCATGGACACTTGGGAAGCTTAGACACTTTCTGTGACTTTAGGCTGAAGGACAATCTTAGAAGTTGCACTGAAGAAAATTGTCATGGCTTGTTCCAAGGCACCAGAGACAATGGGGAGGATAGTTTGGGACCATATGAGCTGAATGAAAAGAGAGAAGTGTGGGCCTACCCTCGACTCATTTCACATGATCCTCAGCCGGAGAGAAGGACACTTGAATTGAAAAAGATGGACTACGTGTTCTCGTTAGAGGGTGTGTGTGTGTGTGTGTTAGCGAGCTAACAGGAACACTTAGACATATAGAGAGCAAATTGTGTGTGTGTGTTTGCATCTGTTTGGGATGAAATTGTGCTGACGGATGAGTGTGTGTGTGTGTGTG